CATCAGAACGGCTTTGATTTATCGGATCTATTAGGTTTGTGCCCTTTGAGATGACATGCAAAAAGAAATAAAAAAATAGGTAAATCAATATGTGTTGTTCAGATAGAAATCAAGGAAGAAGAAATAGAGAGTAGGACATACCTTGGAGATGATGATGAGTGGAATCGTGGAAGATTTCATTTTCGGACTTCAATCGCCATGGAAGTATGTTTTTAGGCTTGGACATTCGGATATTCGGTTCGGTTCCAGATAGGAACCATTCGCTTCCAGGTATATCGGATAAATCATTTTTATACCCAATAGGTACTTAGGAGATTTCGGTTCGGTTTCGGTTTGGTTCCAGTTCGGTTTCGGTTTGGTTCCAGTTCGGTTTCGGTTCGGTTCCGGGTACCCATTTAATATATAAATCAAATATATATATATATATATATATATATATATATATATATATATACAGAATATATTAGTTAATATGTTAATTAAAATGGGCTAGTGTTTACACGTTTATATATTCGTCAATCCAACAAGAGTTTGAATCAATAAAGTGTTAATTTTATAAATATTTATCATATTTTAATATAGAAATACCATATATATATAATATAACAGAATAAATAAAACATAACATGGTCTGGCGGTAAAATGTACTTACTCTTTGTATCTAACCTGGGTTCAAGTATGCTTGATGTCATTTTATCTTATTTTAAAAAAATTTAACTTGTTTTATCGGATATTCGGGTACCCGTTCGGTTTTTGGTTCTGTTCCGGTTCGGTTTTTCGGACATAGAAATATAGGAACCATTCGGATATTTAAGGATTTCGGTCCGGTTTCGGTTTCGGATATTTCGATTCGGTTCCGGTTCGATTTTTCAGTTCCGATTTTTTTGCCCAGGCCTATATGTTTTTTTAAAAAACCGTACTGTCTGAAAAGTGAAGCAAAAAATCGAACGGGTATTGGTTGAACACAATACACTCGACTAGGCTTGTGCCTATTTACTTTTGTTCTGGCTTTTAATAAACATTTTGTCTATTAACAATACAGCCCATTGATATAGTTCTTAGATCAAAATGTTTAACAAATATTAGTCTGGCTCATAATCATGTCCATTCAAAATTATATATCAAATTTCAAAAATATAATTAAATATCTAACACTATTAAAAATTCTTATTCTAGAGTTTTTAGACTGTCCATGTAGGCAATTATAATCGTCCAATGGGATGGGCTCTTTTCACCACGTCAGACATCCATTGTACGGGTTTGGGCCTGCGAGTTGGTTTTGATTTCGAGACATTGTACGGGTTTGGGCCTGCGAGTTGGTTTTGATTTCGAGACATTGTACGGGTATGGGCCCATTCAGACAGAAACCCTAAGACGTGAGAGTGGTCCTTCCACGTTCATCTTTTCACTTCGTTCTCTTCGCCGGTTCCGTTTCTCTAACGCAGAGACGTGAATCTGACACACAACCCCACTTCCTCTGCAATCAATCCTCCGAAATCAAACAATAACGGATTTGACTTTATACCTCTCTATTTCTTTATAAATCTCTTTTTCGCAAATATCCTCTTCTTCTTGAAAAACGACCGAGAAGATTGCGATCTAAGGGAAAAAGAAGTTGGTGGTACATGTTAGTGTATTTGTTGCCTGTGATGAACATCATCAGTGCTGAAAGGTCAATCTCTGTAAAGCATCAACTTCGTCTATGGCGAATTCATGTTTGTGTTTGTCTCTTCAATGCAATTAATATTGTGCTTTATGGCAGGATAAACTTTTCATTCTTCATGGATTATTGCCAAAGTGATTGCAAACATAAATACATTTAGATCGACATTGGCAAAACATTTAGGGAGCAAGTCATTCATTGGTTTACTCTTGTCAACATTCCTCAAGTTGATTCTGTAAGTTGTCATCAAGTTGTGTTTTGTTTCACATTTTGCCTGTTTGATGTCTCCATAGATGTATGAGCGAAGCTTAGATGAACCAAACTCTAAATCTTAAGCTACAATTCTCCAGTTTTCCGAAACCTTTTTCTTAGTTCATGTAAGAATCATTCTTTGCATACCCTGCAGATGATTTGACTCATGAACAAGCTCATGTATTTAGATTATATACATTCTATGCAACCATTCAGTCCTAACAATGATATAGATTCTACTCCAATCATCGTAAGCCACTTTTCTATGGACACGTAATAATAATACCTTTGTATCAACTTGAAATTCTAGATTTTGAAGTTGTAATGATCACATGCTTTTCTGAAAACAGCCTTGCTGCGAAGTTCCCTTATCTGGTCCAAAATAAACTTAAAGGAGGCCAAGATGTTAGGCGAGTAAACACAGCTCAATTGGAGAGTAACCATAGAAGATTGTGAGAAGAAATTTGTAGCTTCAGACTTATCATTCACGCCACTTCCAGTAAGTTACTCAAAGCCTTTGTAGAAATAGTGAATCAGACCTCCCTGCTTTATCTACTTGGAAACTCAAATCTTATTTATGATTTAGGTGATACATGTATAATACTACGTCTGTCATGGTTTCCTTTCTGCAGTAACAGTCCACAATGGCTTATATCTCTGATGTATCACGTTCTTCTTCAAGTACTGAGTATGGTAAGTTCTTCTTCATCGGAGTTAGCCAAAGAAACTGCATTTCCACTTGCTGCTCTGAACTTAGGTTTAATGATGATCCTGTCGCTATTAGTTTCAATGAGCATACATAATGGACACAATTTCTCTGAAGCCAAACTTCATGGACACCTCTCACAGGTATGATCTCATTGACATACATGTGGCTCTATATTAAACTGTCAGAAAAAAAAAAGTATCTTTCCTTTTTGAAAAAAATGTTTGTGTTACAAAAACAAGATTTTATATAACGCCACAGTCTCATTATTTCTTTGGTTGCTATTTACTTGGGTTTTTGTTTTCCTGCTACTTCCATTGTATTGCCACTACTCTGACCAGTTTCGTGTGGATGTTCCATCTCCATCTCTATATATTTGTTTTCTATGATGATGATCTGATAATGGTTTCTCTTGCTGATTATAGACACCAAAAAAAGAAAAAGATCCTATTATCATCGTCTGTGTTTTATTTTTTTAGCTTTGAAAAGCTAATCCTATGGTTTTCAGTGTGTTCTGATTATGTATTTTTTTTCTTTGATTAATTTCTGATGCTGAAAGATCAGACAGATTATGACCCAGCAAATCATATGTTTCATGGGATCTTCTATGTTTCATTTATTTGTTGATATCACTACTTTCTCTCCATTCTTTCACTTTATTTTGATTTTTTTTTCAATTGTTTACCTGCGACATAACTTTACTTCTACTTTTCTTCTCAGCGTAAGCTCCAGAACAATGGATTTGTGTGGTTTAGGTTTTCAATGTGTTTCTAATTCTGTATTTTTTTCTTTCTTTTCTTACTTTTTGATGCTGAAAGATCAGATCCATATTGGCTTTTGTGCATAAAGAGATGAAGATTGAAGAATTACTTAATCTGAGTCATGAAGGAACTTATTCTGCTATATAAATCACCCAATCATCGCTCATTTAATGCTACTTTCTTCATTAGTTTGGTGTTTGATCAACAACTCAGTTACATTCTTTTCATTATGTATGAAGGACAAGGTGACATGCTCTATAACCAGACATTCAATGTCGATCAATTTTCATCCACTGTGAAGGACTGAAAGATGCTCAACAACCTGTATGTATCTCTTTTGTGCTCACCATATAGAACCTAACTAAGTATTAATAATATCCATTAAAATCTGCAGATGCATAACTGAAAGATGACGCAAACCGTAAAAACAAAATGAAGACATGGATGTACGTTTTTAGTTATTTTCCCACAAGTTAGTGTTTATCTCTCACTGTATATTTTGTTCCCCCTTATACTAACTCTGATGGTACAAAATTTGTAAGATGAGATGACGGATTTGATGGACGTGAGTTCTGAAATACAAGAAAAACTTGGTAGTAGCGACAATTTTCATGATGACCTTGACGAAGATGAGTCTGTGGGAGGTGGATTTTGTTGGCTTATTTCTTGATTGGATCACATAACTCTTACATGTTTGTTTATTAAATCTTTAAAGGCGCTTTAGTTTATTTTTTTAGAGTTTAAGGCTCTTGAAGCTGACATGGGAAAAGAGTCTAAAGCGGATGGGATGCCTTTTAGTCTCCAACGCGACAAGCCCACTGGTTAAGTGGAGTTCAACCTGCTTGAGTTCATGTAAAGTGTTTAGACCTTTTTCCTTTTCTCGAAATTAAAATGTTGCAAAGCAGAATTTAGCTCTATATGGATGCCTCAAAAGAGATTTAAATTTGTGATTAGCAGTTTGAGGATGAATTTGGATTACTGGCAGTAACAAGGTACTCACTGGGAAATAGTTCTTACGCTCTTTTTGTGGCGTGGAGCTGCTAAGATCTTGAGATCATTCTACAGATTTTCTGGATTAATTTATATATATATGGAATGGGAATTGTTTGGTTCATTTTACTTACCTAATTCTTATAAAATAAATTGTACCAAAAATGGCTTACACATGTCGAGTTTGATAAGTGCGGTGGAAATTAAATGTTGCTTCCACTGTTGTTTTGGATGATGAATTTGTTATATGCTGGAAATTTTGATTGATATGCCTTAAAAGATTATGCTTATGCTCCAGGTTAGTTTCAATAAATTGAAGTCCCTTCTCTATACATCCGTTTTAAAAAAAAAAATGTGGTTTGACTGTTTGAGTTATTGAATATATTTTTGATTCAAACAAGTTATCTACTATAATTAAAAGTTTTTAATACAAGCTTCTGAGGTGTGCCATGTGAATTAAAAATTCGACCAGTAATATTGCTTGAATTGTCCACGTCATCTTCTTTTAGTTTTATTCTGGATTTTGGTGTTATTGGTTTTGGGCTTCGTTGTTTTAATTCGGCCCGTCATATTGTCGAATCTATATGATAATTGATGATCCAGAATAAGCCTCCTCAAAAGCACAAACGTAACCTTCTATATTTCTCCGATTAAATCATTCAACTATTCATCTTCCTCTATCTCTACATATCCCCCAATTTTCTCAGTCCATCAATAGTGAAGACGTTGTCAAAAAAGTCGTACAAAAGAATGGTAGCTTTTAAGAATTTGGTGAAGGTGATATGTTTCATTGAACTGATTGAAAAGATGTTGATTTACACTTTCACTATTCGGTATGTTCTTATTTTCTTATTAATATACTTTGTATCTTGATTCAAGTTTCTTTTGAGAAAGAAGACACTGACCTTATTTCTTTCCATGTGGTCAACTAGATTTCCTTTGGATTGGCTGAAACTGATATACATAATCCAGGGGAAAGAGAAGGAAGGGTTAAACCATAGAGGATTTGAGTTATAAGAGTTGGAGAAGAAATCTGAGGCAGATCTCAGCGCTGATAACAGAGACTAGCAACCAGATCTGGTAGTACTTTATTTTAACTCTTAAGAAACAAATACTTTGTTCTTCAGTGATCTGGTTACAAGTTGCTAACAATGGGAGGAAGTTAATGATTCGATCAACAAGGTTCCATGAGAGTTTCTATTCTACTCACAGGAACCATCACCGTGTCGTCTCCTCTCATCCGCTGCTTCGCCGTGATGAGCAGCCTTCAAAGTCGACTTCTTGCAAAGCAGTGTCGAGGGACATGAATCGAGCATTCATGTCTTTGTCCGTCGGTCGTTGTGGGTTTTATGGACTGGGAGTTTTGAATCGGGCTTGGCCGAGCAGACCAGAACGAGCATCTCAACCTCCAGCCATCGCTTGCTGCGTTCTTCGCGTACAGAAGCTTGAGCTTGGGTCGAGGGAGATGAAGCGGGCTTGATGATCTTCGTGGAGTGGTCGATTTGTGTTGTTCGGATCAAGAGCCAACTTTTGATGCTTGAGGTTTGATTTTGAATTAAAGGTTGTGAATCCATTGGACTTAACACGTGTAGAGGAAGGTTCATCAGGAGACTCAGGAGCATCTGTTGCATCAAGACAATTTAGTTGAACTTCAGAACGCAGTTGACCCATCTGCCGTTGTATCCTTTGTTGAGTCATTCTCTTTTTTTCTCAGGGTATTGTCTGTGAAAATTTTAGTTTTGATGGTTACATGATTGTCTTCTCATGTTCGTTCTGTAATTATTGGGTTGGAATTATTTTTTCACTGTTAACTTTTTTTGTAGTTTTTGATGTTTGTAAATGCACGTTTCAGTTAACAATGCCGGTACTATCAATAAGAACAGCAAGATTTGGGAAGTCTATGTGGAAGATTTCGACAGTGTTATTAATACAAACGTTAACGGAGTAGTAAATGTACTGCACAGTTTCATCCCTTTGATGCTCCCATGGAAGCAAGGTATTACTGTTAACATGTCTTATTTTCAAAGGCATGATGATGTAGTAAATGTACTGCACCGTTTCATTATCGTAAATAATCTTGAGCTACACTTTGTTCGGATATAGAAATGATGTTTGGATACCTCTCTAATAAGCTAAAGTGAAGCCTGAACTGAAATCCAGTGGCAACGGAGGTAGCTGAAGGAATGGCAGTGGTTGCATTAAATCCAGGCGTGATCAACACATAATTGCTCACTCCCTGCTTTGGCAACACAGCTTTATTGTATCAAGCTCCTGATGACATATTTTAAAACAAATATATACATTCGCTTCAATTCTGTTCTTCATAACTCCGAATCATAATTATGCGCTGTATGGTCTCTCCTAAGCCTTTGATGTGTGATGGAAAATGTAACAGGGATGTGAAAACTGCAACAATGATTCTGAACCTTACAGCGGGTGATAATGGCAAATCTCTTACTGTCTAACAACTAAACTTCACTCTTCTTTTCGACTTCAGTGATATGGATAAGGAGCTTCCTCAGCAGAGCCCTTTGCTTTGAGGCTTTAATTCTTTTTTTTGTAACCAGAAATTTTAGCATGGTTACTACGTTCTTAAGTTCAACTAAACTACATTTTTGTAACGTTTTCACTTGGTCAGTTTTAGATAAATAAAAAGATAGGAGGATAACTGTGTAGTAAGAGCGTAGGACCAATTGATGATCAACCAAACCTTAATAACTTTAACCAAGCTAAAACCAAACTGTTCTACATCTAAGTTAACCAAACCCGAAATGTCGACCCTTCACCTTAGTCCATCGATTTGAGTTGTTATAAAAAGTTTTAATCAGTTTAACATTAATTTTCTTTAGTTGTAAGAATTTTTTATATATTTTAGTGAAATACCGACTAACAAATTTTTTAGTTAAATACAATACGCTTTTGAATTCTTCATGAAGCTTCTCCAGCTCTGAGAATGTCAACTGTTGTTCTTGATTGTTGTCAATGGTACCAACATTTAAGAGATATTTACGTTGTTTAATTTTTGTAAGATGTGAAATGTTGTGGTTTCTTATGTTCGTTTTATAAAGGGCAAACCATATATGGGCGTGTCTTTTCAGTGGATAGAGAAGAAGTATATATGTAAACCTCATATTCACGCATAGAAATTGAATACTGGTTTATTGATTATGTTTGTTTCTTTCGTCTGACTCATGAAGAAATTTAAGCTTATCTGCAGCACTTGCATCTCCCTTTCACATTAAAAAAGCTCACACATAACGTTTAATCACATCCTTGACACATTTTACTTGATTACACAGTATACATATAAATGGTACAACTCATAAAAACGTCTGATTTATTATAGATCTAGATCTTAAAAATTATTGAAAGCAGAAGTTTGTAATTTTATATGGTGAGGTTGTTAAAAAAAAAGTTGACACAGTAAGGTCTTTATATGATTCTATGCAGCAAATAGCTGCCAACGTTCCCTTTAGTGTGGCTGCATATTTTTATATTACGACGATTTATAAAATAAAATGCTCGATGTTCATTTTATGTATATAGTTCCAGAACTGACGTTGTCTATATACTTTGAGTTACTTACCTACTTTGTTTTATAGGGGTGGACATAGTAGAAACCTTGTGTCTATATTAGATTTAGTAATTTCATTAAAAAAAATTTAAACACAACGACTCAAGTAATCTCATAATTTTCTTTTTAAGATAACAAATAAATCACTGAAAATATTAGAGTCTTCTTTAAAAAAAATATTACAGTTAATTCTATCTTTAAATTTAACAAGCATATTTTTTGTTAAACCAAATATGGTTTGATATATAAACCGATTAAACCAAATAAACCAAATAAACTGATCAATTAAAATATAATAGTATAATGTTGATACTGGTATTTTATTTTTTATTTTTATTTAAAACTTTTGGTTCATTTTTATTATTAAATAAAACATAAATTTTACATTTTTGTTTGCAAATATGTGTGTAAATATTTAATTTATAATATTATGACAGTAATTTCGAAAATACTTGGAACTACACAGAATATGTTGATAATATTCGAGCATTTTATTTTATTTGGAGCAAGTTACATAGACGCAACTTGGAAAGAGCATTCACGAATTACCTGTCACCTTGGATCAGGTTAAGTTGCTGGTCTTATTCTCTTCTTCTGGTGAAAATAGTATATGAATGTGGTTTACAGCAGCACTCAGGACCCCTCTCTGTTAGTGGTCGTTAATATCTTAATCCAAATTATTTAAGATCTCCAGATTCTCCAATATCTTCCCAACAGAGTGATCATAAATATTGTGCAGGTTTAGCTATAACCTATATTAGTCCATACGAAAAGTTGATCATGGATTGAAGATTAAGATCTTTTCACAAGTCGAGGAATAATATATTAAAATTTTTAGGGGTTAATGTTGAGTGTTAAAGGGGATTTCAGGGGCTCTCATGAGAGATTCCAAGAAGAATTGTTGGGAGAAGAGATAAATCATTCTTCAACTATTTGTCATATGTACTTCCAAGATCATCTTCCATGGTGGTAATTTCTGAATCGAAAATTTGAACTCTTTGGTCTTTCTTAAATCAGATGAGATTCGAAGCCTAATCCTCAGCTAGCTCGACTTTTGGACTTCATTTTCATACTACATATTGGACATGAAAGCAACTTCTCTACTACTGTTGCTCAGCATCAGGTGTACATTTTTTTAATGAATAAGTCTATCGTCTACTGAAATCGGGGTGAGTATTTGGATTCTTTTTCATCCCTTAGTGTCTTAGAAACTGGTAATGGGTGGGCGAACCTGATGGTGAGGGTCACTGAGTTGAGCATTCCACCAAATCAGAAAAGTCCTCCCATGGTGCCATTCCACACTAAGGCGCAAAGCAAATGGAAAGAGTCCTAAAAGTTGCTCAGAACCAGATCAGGAGATTAAAAAGTCACAAGTGATGGTTAGAGTTTATTTCTTTTTCTTTTGAAGTTCTGATCTGTGGGATCATTATGATTCACTCTGTTGGGCCGAGGGAGAAGGTATCTTCATACATGTGATTTTGTTCTCTCTGTAACTTTGCCTTGATAGAGAGAGGGAGGGTGAGACCTTTATAGATGTTATAAAAGTATTTGAGATTGTTCTTTTATACATTTTGCATATTGTCGTCACTCTTGAGATTCATGTTTTTGAGAAGTTTTTTTGGATTCCTTTTTGTTATTGTGGGTTCAAAGCATGATGGTCAAGATTGTATAGTTAGAATTTAATCAAATTTTCATTCTTGAAAGCTGAAACAGTTTTAAAAAATAGAACATTTTAAAGTAAACTGAATGTTAATTTCTAGAAATTTAGCATAGAGACAGATTATAAACAAAGTCATGTGCTATTATGTAAACGTGACTAATAAAAAATCTTGCGAGTTTCAACTGTTTGACAAAAAAAAACTGTTACTGTTATTAATATGAAAAGTACTTATCGTAGCATCATATTTTCAGGTGGTTTTGTGATAAAACATTGGCATTTTGAAGTTATTTGGTTTGTTACGAGATGATGTAGTGCTTTTTGGTTGACCAGAATTGGATTCATAGTTCACGTTTAAGGTTTGATGGAAACTAGCTTCAAGGTGCAAAATGTTCCTCTTAAAAGCAATGATTCAATGACCAAGGTGTCAACTAACTTCTCGATCTTGATTCTAGCAGCAATTGGCAGTGTTAGATCCATTATGGTGAGAGAAGCTTAAATATGTTTTTATCATATAATCATGTGGGAAAAAATGTACAAGTTTGTTTTGATTTATTTTAGCTTTATCATTTTTCATTTGTTTTTTAATATATAATACGGAGATATATAGAAAATGCACACATGTGTTCATTTAGAAAATAGTTGATATGCACAACGGGAAAGAGATAATCTTAAAAAATTTAAATTGCAAATAAGAAAAAAGAAAGTTCTCAAAAGTTTTGTTTTTTGCTAAAAACAAAACTTACTTATATTCTTTTGTGGTCATTGGAAATATGTCAGAAAAAATAATATAATTGTACATATAACTTTCATTTATATGATACAAACATATTTTTAAATGTATAAAACAATACATTTTATTATAATGTAATATTGAAATTAGAATAACAAACAACTTATAAATAACAAACCCGGGCGTAGCCCGGGAAGGCTCTACACTACAAGAAAATAATTTTTTACTAGGGCTATATCCGTGGTTAATTCGTCGTAATAGGACATTTACAATGAATTAACTAGGAAACGTGTTTCGTTGTTAATCGCCCGTCGTAATGCACATTTCGTCGTAAAGACCACGTAACGTTACGAGGAACAAGTGTCGTTGTAAAGGCGAAGTAGAATATTTCGTCGTAAGATCGACGTTAACCAGCGACGTAAAGTCCACATTTCATTTCGACATAATTACCACGTAAAGATTCGATGTTAAGTCGATGTAAATTTACGAGTAGATTACTAGTAAAACATGTAAAGTCGTAGTAAATATAACAACGAACTTACTTGTAATTAGATGTTAAGTCGTTGTAATGTTTACAACGAAATTACTTGGACTGTTTATATATAATTTATAATTTAAAAAAAGTTTTATATATTTTTATTTTGTAATTTTGTAATTTAAAAATATAAAACCAAAATTTTTTAAAATTAAAATTGTTTAAAAACATTATATTAAAAAGTTATAAAATAATATATAAATTTATAATACAAAAGAAAATAAAATAAAATAAAACTACGGCATGTTGGTGCGGAGGTACTCGTCGGGGCGGCTGAGTTCCGGGCCGGGTCGACCGGTTGACTCAGGAGGATGCTGCTCCATTCCGAGAGCCGCTCGTCTTGCATTTAGTGCTTTCTGCATAACCGGGTTATCGATGGCCACGATGTCCAACAAATCCTCAAGTGAGTCCAAACGCTCCTGCTGGGACCGCATCTGAGACCGTAGCTGAGAAGTTTCCTCATCCCAGCGCGAAGTGTACGAAGAAGTTGCCCTTGGAACTTCGTTAACGGATCATATTCCCACCGTCCGTCCCTTCTTTCTAGGAGCCACCTTGTTTCAAAAAAAGGTTCATTAATATTGAAATAATAATTAATAAAATCGAATTAATATAAACAAATTAAAATTTATTTAAATATTTTACCTTTTCGAAAATCTGATCGACTTCTTCTGTAGTCAATGTGACGGGTGACCCATCGGGAGCCTGCTGGGTTAGTTGTGTCTGCCGCTCCTCAACCCGAGAAACCACATCGTTATAGAGTCTCTCGGAACGTGGATCCACAAAAACTCCCTCTGGTGTGGCGTGAGTCATCCTGAATAGCTCAGTCAGAGATGGCATGACTCCGGTCTTCTCGGCCTAGAAACAAAATAAAAGAGTTAATATTTTTAATTACTTAATTAGCAAATAATAAAAAAAATATTAAAAATAAAACTTACAACATCTAGACGAATCCCAGCGTGCGGCTTTTGGCCGGTTCTATGAAGCATGGGGTCATTGTCGTACTTATCCTTCGTTCTTCGGGAAGAAGAGCAGGAGTTGGCCTTTTTGATGG